AACCACCCGTCTGTCCACCATCCATCCACCCATCCAACCATCCATTCACTCATCCATCCATCCATCCATCCACTCATCCATCCATCCATCCATCCATCCATCCATCCATCATCCACTCATCCATCCATCCATCCATCCATGCACTCATCCATCCATCTATCCATCCATCCATCCATTTGTCCATCCATCCACTCATCCATCCATCCATCCCTCCACTCATCCATCCATCCATCCCTCCACCCATCCATTCGTCCATCCATCCACTCATCCATCCATCCATCCGTCCGTCCATCCATCCATCCATCCGTCCATCCACATGGACCACATCTGTCCACCCACCAAATCTTCACTGAGCACCTCCCAGGTGCTGGAATGGGGGATGACCCCAAGGTGGGTCTTGTTTTCAGGGAGTTCACAGTCTAGGGGTACAGATCAGAAATGCACACTGTTTCAGGTGCAGTAAAATTTAATCTGGCCAGTCAAGGAGGGAAGCGTCATAGATGTTCTGGAAGAGGAAGACTGAACCCCCCCATCATATGCGCCCCAACTTAAGCCACCACACATGTCAGATCTCGGAGTCTAATACTGCAGAAGGCCATGGGACAGGACAGAGTGTCTGATTCAGGATCCTACCACTGTCTAGGGGCTGGGGAGGACTTCCCACCGGGCTGGCCCTCTTCTTTGTCGCTCCCCCCAGTTATGGACACAGAGCCAGCACTTGGAACACACAAGGAGCTTTATTGCACACGGAGGACAAGGCTGCAAGCCGGGAGCAGGGAGGGGGCAGGGCCTGAGAATGCGGTGCAGGCGCTGGTGTCTCTCGACCTGGAGGTCCCCCAGCATGTGTCCTCTCTCTGCCCAGGCTGGGCCTTCCTCGGGGACTCTTGGTCTCGGGGGGGGGGGGGGCGGCCCCTTTGGTCAATCACCAGTGAGAGTCCCTTTCCTGCCCCTGCTGTGCGAGGTAGAGTGGGGGTCAGAGAGCGGGAAGGGAGAGCGGTCGGGGGGTCGAGAAGTAGAGAGACGGCGATGGTGGTGGGTGTTGGCCGGGCGCGGGCAGGCCAGGCAGGCAACAGCAGCAGCTCCCATGGCAGGGCCGGGGTGGGCGTCTGGCTGGACTCGCCCCTGCGAGGGCGGAGGGTGCTGCCCGAGCTGTCTGCAGTCTCAGGAAAGCTGAAACACCGGCAGGGGTGGGGGTGTCAGGCTTCGGTCCGGGGAGGGGGCTACCCCCTGCCCTCCGCGTCTCCAGCCCGTCTCTGGTGGCCACGCTGGCCCTGCCTACGGCACCCCCTCCCCCGGGAGCAGCCGCCCTGCTCCAGCCACCGGAACCCCACGTCCGCTTCCACCTTGGAAGCTGGCTTCCTGACACCGGGGCCCCCCCGGGGCCGCGGGCCTACTTGGGATTCAAGGTGAAGGGAGCTGTGCCCGTCGCCTGCTCTCCCGCTAGCCTGGCTGCCCCCGAGCTCCCGCGGTCCCTGGGGTCCTGGGCCCCCTGAAGCAGGCACAGCCGAGCGGGAACCCCGGGCAGACCCCTGAGGCCCCTCCCCAGGCAGACCCGCTCCCGCCTGACAGAGCCGGCCCCCACAGGCCGGCAGCTCCGGGCCTCCTTCCTCCCACAAACCGGCCGGCCTCCGGCTTGGCCCAGACGCCATTTGTCAACGTCCTTGCGAGCACGTGGCGCCCAGAAACCAGGGCGGGCGGCTTGGCCAGGACCACCCCAGCCAGGATGTCTGCGGGAATATCCCATTTAGCGTAGCTCAGCGAAAATTGCTCCCACCTCCCGGCCAATCGACCTCTGATGATGCAGCCTCAGCTTTCCTGAGCCTCTGGCCGCCACCCTCACCGCTGGCTCACAGTGGACGAGCCTGTGGTCAGACTGGCGACGGTGTGGCGCCCCTCACGCGTCTGCGGGCGGGCGCTCTTCCTGCCCTGGCGGGCGGCCGGCCCAGCACGTGCCTCCCCCTTGGAGCCCGTCCACGGGTCTCACGGTCTAGGCTGTGCCCCCGGGCGGCGCCCTCGGCCGTCACCCACCGAGTCACTCGGGCCTCCGTGGGCTCCTCTCCGAAGCGGCTGGAGGCAGAGCCGCCCCACAGAGCTGCGGACGCAGACAGACTTGCTAGGGACACACCTGGCAGGTGCCGGGCGCTCGGGAAGCAGAGATTCTGATGGTCAGGGTCGGGCCGTGACCCCTCTGGGCCTCAGGAGCTCCTATCTCACCTCGGGGTGGTGGGGGGGGGGGCACCGGCAGAGAGGACGGCTGGCCTGTGACGGCTGTCCCTCTCCACCCCAGGGTGCAACGATGCTCATCGTGGCCGGCCTGTGCCCCCCGGGGCCCTCGGGACCCCCGCCGCCCCTGCTGCCCAAGCCAGGCAAGGACAACCTTCGTCTGCAGAAACTTCTGAGGAAGGCTGCCCGGAAGAAGATGACCGGGGGCGGGGCCCCCGTGCCACTGGGGGCTTTCCGCACTTCCCTGTCCCCCGTGAGTGAGGCCAGCCACGACCAGGAGCCAACGGCCCCGCGCCCCGCGGAGGGCCCGCGCTCCGTGCCCGCCCTGCCCCGCTCCCCCCACCCCTCCGTCATCCAGCACGTGGCATCGCCTCTGCAGAAGTCCACAGCCCCCTTCAGCTTCACTCAGCACAGGAGCCTGGCTGCCCACTTCAAGGCCACGGGGCTCCGGCTCACGACACCGGCCCAGCACCCCACCCGGTCCCCCAGCGGCTTCACGCAGGTCTCGGCCCCCACGGCAGGGGCCACCCACGTCAGCCAGGTACACATCCGGCTCGTGCCGTCCCCACAGGCCAGGACCCCGGAGCCCTGCCAGACGGCCCCAGATGGGGGGCCTGGTGGGCAGGACAAGGACACGGTCCCGTACCCTCCTGGGGCCCAGCCCCCGGCCCCCGCGGCCCACGTCCGCCCTCTGCCCACCGAGGCCCAGACTGCCGGTCCTTGCCCTGAGGCCCCCCCTCCTCCGTGCCCTGGCCCTGAGGCCTTGGTGCCCAGAGAGGGTGGCACTCGGCTTGTGGTGCCCATAGTCCCCACCTACCGCTCACCGGGACCCTCGCCTCACAGGCCGGCCTCAGCTGAGCCCGTGGAGAAGCCCCCTGTGGCTGGCCCTGCCGCTGAGGCCGAGGCGGTCTCCAGTCCCCGGGGGGCCTCGTCCCCGGCCCCGCCCTCAGGCCCCCACCCATACCCTGTCCCCAAAGTTGCACCGAGGCCCCGGCTGAGCGGCTGGACGCGCCTCAAGAAACAGCTGATGGAGGAGGAGGAAACATCCCCGTGCCCGGGGCCAGAGCAGAGCCCAGAGGGCGGGGGGCAAGAGGTGACAGCCCCCGCCCTCCCAGCGTCCCGGCCCCCAGCCTCCCGGGCCTCCAGGATGTGGGACGCGGTGCTGTATCGCATGTCAGTGGCCAAGTCCCAAGGCAGCCCGGCTGGGCCCAGGGATGGGGCTTGTACCCTGGCCGGCCTGGGCCGCCTGCCCTTCCTGTGCAGGCCGCGATTCAACGCCCGGAAGCTGCAGGAGGCAGCCGCCCGGCCGCCTCCTACAGTCCACTGCGTCGTGGACCTAAACCCCAAGCCCAAGAACTTCAACCGGACGGCAGCTGGCTGGAGGCTCCAGTGACCGGTCAGGGCGGCACCGGGGCCCAGGACCGTGGTGTGGCCAGAAGAGGGACAGGGGGTCCAGCTGGGGAGCCACGGCCACTGCAGAGGGCGCCAGGGCCGGACGGACACCGGGCAGCCGGGAGGTGCGGGACGGACAGGCTGCAGCAGGAAGGACTGTGGCGGGGTGCGGCAGGGGCAGGTGGGGTCGGGGAGGAGGCCGGTCTCCACGGCATGGACTGGGGCAGAGAAGGGGTCTGCACTGGGTTAGAATATATATGGGGGCTAACGGGGTAAAATCACGCGCAAGAAGGAAGGAACACGGCTCAGTGATGAGGCAGCGGGTAGATGAGTCGGCCCCGCACAGCAGGGCCCATGGCTCGGGACTCGGGGCAAGGAGGTGCAGGGGGGTGCCTGGGCTCCTGAGGGGCCGCGGGCCGGCAGGGCAGGGAGGATGCTGGGGTTGGGTTCTGTGGTCCCCCCGCCCCTCCGGGAAAGATGGGGGACAGATTTAGGTTTGCTGTGCAGAGCGGGGCTGGCCAGGGCGACTCAGTTGTGCGTGGGCACCAGAGGCTGCATCAGCGGTTTGACTGTCGTTCCTGACACGTGTGGGGGGTGGGGGGAGGCCAGATCCCAGGCTCAGCTCCTTTTGTTGCCCGCCTCTGATTCCCCCGCCTGGGGGGCAAGGTGTGAGGGGGGCTCGCTGGCGGGAGATGGGGGCGGGGCCCAGCTTCGATGGCTGGGTAAGGACAGGTGTTCTTGGTCCCGGGGCAGGGGAGGCAGCAGAGGGGACCCCAGGCCTCATGCGGCTTCGGGGCCCCCATGTCTGCAGTCCCCACTGACTCGAGACAGGGGCCAGGGCTCTGATGGGGTCAGAGCAGTGATGGCAGAGGGACACAGAGGTGCCTGGGTGCAGGACTCAGGGGGGGGAAGAGACAGCCAGTAGGCGGCCAGCTGCATCACGCAGGGCATAATGGGTGCTGTAAACGGATCCTGGGACCCAGGCCACTAATAAAGTGTGTCTAACCACGGCAGTGGGCCATGTTTCTTCACCAGGTGATGGGCAGGGTGGTGGACCCCGGAGGGGCCCCCGGCTGGTGTAGGAGAGCGAGCCAAGTGTGGGTTCCGACCAGCTCCAAGGCCAGGCATTCAGTCCCCACAGGCCGCCCTTGCAGCTGTAACAAAGCAGGCCTTGTCCGTGGCCCCACATTCCCAGAAGGACACATTCCACACACACGACACCTCACGCTCGGGCTGCCGCCCCGAACTCACCGAGAAGGGCAGCCTAGGGCACCGAGCCCTCGTCCACAAGCACCTTCTCATACTTCCCATGTCCGGTGGCCACAAACTTGTACCTCTTTCCAGACGGAGTGCTCTGCTGGGAGAGGTGACCAAGAGCAAAGCTGAGAGCGGCAGAACAGAGATGGTGCTGCCTCTGGGAAGCCCTCCCAGATGCACTGAGGATAGCCCCTCTTTGCTTTCAACTGCTAGACCCGCCCTCCCTACATCAGCCCCATTTAGACCCTACCTTAATTGTCGATGACGTCTTGGAGCCTCCTTTTTGCTCCCAGAGGCTTTTCTTGCTCATGTCTCCAGCTACGATATCCTGTGTTCAGAGGAAGGACATGTCACAGGTGCAGACCCTCGACCAGGGAACTCAAAGCCGTGGTCCTTTCTCTCCTGTCCAGCCTTGCCCGGCTGGGTCCCAGGCCTGCCCACCCACTTCCTTGTACGAGAGCCCAGGGGAGGAAGTAAGAAAGGGAAAGTGGCACCACCTACATGCACTGGGCCACCAGTTCCCCCACATGGCCTTCCACTCTGGGGGCCAGCCCGGTGAGCACCCCCCAAACATCCCAATGCTCTGTCTACCCACACTGCAGCCTAGACAGCCTCATACTTGCCTTACCAAGGGGACCCCACCTCACCCTGGGATGGGTGTTACCTTGCAAGAGGGGGTCTTGGCAGTGGCCTGAGCCTGCACTTCTCCCGTCTCCCACCGGCTCTTGGTGCTCGCCACAGCCATGCTGGGCAGCTCAATGGAGGGCTGGCGGGTTAGCTTGGGGGTCCGGCCAGCAGTCTGCAGAGGAGGAAAAACCCAGGACCACTTTAGTGGACAGCCACATGGGACATGTCAGAGAAGCCAGGGTGAGGGTCTCCAATACATGACTTCTTCTACATCTTTGTATTTCCAGAGGAGTGCTTTCCCAGTAAGGGGCTAGGGCAGGGCACTCTGGAAAAAAAAAAAAATGCACGTGCCTCCATTGGGTGTACTTGTGAAACACCTTCTTGATCTGAGGAGCACAGGTGATATGGTGGGGTAAGAGACAGATGTGGTGCTATCATGCTGCTCAGAACAAAGGGCTGGAGGAGCATGGATTGAATGGGGGGGGGGTTGTTGGAGAGAGGGGCATTGGTAGGATAGAGAGGTGTAGGTCTGGACGAGTGGTGGTTGGATGGAGGGGTGTTCGCTGAATGGAGGAGTGTTGTTTGTGTGGAAAGACATTGGTTGGATGAAGGAGCATCGGTTAGATAGAAAGGTATTGGTTGGATGGAGGGGAGTTGGTTGGATGGAGTGGTCTTTGTTGCATGGAGAGATATTGTTTGGATGGAGTGGTCTTGGTTGGATGGAAGGGTATTGGTTGGATGGAGTGGCCTTGGTTGGATGGAGTGATCTTGGTTGCATAGAAGGGTATTGGTTGGATGGAGGGGTGTGGTTGGGATGAGACAATGGGTATGTGAATAGAGGAGGGACCCAGCAGAAGAAGGGAGGCCTAAGCATACCTCAATGGCCTGTGTGTACTGCTCCAGTCGCTCATCAATCTTGGAGATGGGCAAGGCTGGTTGGGACTTCTTCACACTGTTACTGGAGGGTAGGAGAAGGGTCACGCCCCATGCTCCCTCACTGGGCTTCCACACCCACCCCGACCCCTACCAGAGCTCCCTCGGGGCTCTGCATCTCTAGCCCCCAGGCCCCTCTCTTCGACACCGTCTGGGGGAACCCCAAGTCCTAGTCTGGAAAGCAGCAGGTTCACCTCTTCCTGATGGAGCGGTTCAGGGACTCGGTTCTGTCGATGAGCTGCGGAAGGCAAGCAGAGATGTGAGTCTCCAGCCAGAGCCCCCCCCATCCCCCCCATCGCCCCAGTGGCTCCCATCCACCAATCGAGCCATCCGCTGATTCATTTCTCAGGGATGTGCTGAGTGCCAGGCTGGGGGGATGGCAGAAAAAGAGCAGGGTGTACTCGTGTTCCTGGCACTGCCGTGTGGCTTCCTCTCTGGGGCTGTCGTGGGGTTGGTGCTGTGATTCTGGGAAAGAGGAAAAGGCAGCAGGCTCTGGGGCTCGACCTACTTTGGTGCTGGGGCTCAGGGGAGGTGAGCCCTGTTCGGTAGCACCCTCCAAGACCAGGGGGCTGGGCGTCCTGGGCTGCTGGTGTGTCTGGTGCTAGGAATAGAACATCAGAGTTTATACGATGAGCACCCCTCGCACCCCTCCTGCCCCATTCGGGACTTGTTGGAGCAAACATCTTCCCCTCCCTGGGCCTCAGGCCCTTTCCAGCCCTGACATGCTCTGTTTCTCGAATTCTCTGCAGTGGGGTCTGGTGAGTCCGGAGGAGAGTCGCTTGATCCCAGGGTCACGAAGACCCTCCTCCCTCTGGGAATGCGGGTGCCACAGAGTCTGGGGTGTGGGGGGGGGGGCGTCTCCCTCTAGGGCAGCCTGCTGAGCAGACGGTCAGCAGACACAGACCCAGCCCAAGGGGCAGGGTGCACCCGGACCCCAAAGGGAGCCACCATCACCTGCTCGTCTGCCTCTTCGGCTTCTGCCGGCCCCAGGCTGCCCTGGACGGTCCCCTCTGGGCTCTTGGGCTCTGTCTCCTCTGTTCCCGGCCCGTCCTGGAGCTCTGAGCTGGGGCTCAGATGCAACTCCTCCAGGCTGACTCTGGCTGGACTCTGCTCATCACCACCCTGGCTCCCGTAGGCATGCTGATGGGGCCTGGGGGGCAGGGGAGGGATGCAATCCTGGTGAAGGTCGTTCAGCTGCTGGGTTTGAGTCCCTCTGGGTTTCCAAACCTCAGCTTCTCCGTCCGAAAGGTGGGGGCAGTCTGACCAGTTGAGTGCCAAGGAATCTTGAGACCCCAGCCTCATCGGGGGAAGTGGGCCCAAGGACCTTGGAGGCAGCCCTCCAGCCCTGGGGTGCCTTTGTGGACAGGGCCCGCTGCCTCAGCCCCCTCTCGCCTCACACTCGGAGGCCGGACCCGGTTTCCAGACTCTCTGGATGGGCCCCAGCCCCCCGGGCCATGCTCGTCTGTGTCCACCCTGCTGGCTTAGCGCCACCCCCGCCCCCCCCCGCCTGCTCCTGCCCTGCTCCATGAAGGAGGCAGGTGGGCCGGAGGAAGAAGGGTTTCGCATAGGAGCAGGGCAGGATCTGTGGGTGGTTTGGGGGACGATCAGCTAAGGGACAAGGCAAAGGCCGAGGTCACAGCTAGGACTGCACCCTTGAGAAGAGGCGCTGCCTGCACTGGCCATGCCTTCCGGCAGCCAGCGGGGCTCTGCATTTGAGCAGGACTGAACCAGCAAGAAATTCTCGCATTTTCCATGATTTCACGCCCCTTGGTGTTGGTGCCAGCCCAGACCCAGGCCCACCGCCCAAGGTGGGTCAGTGCGAGCCGGCCGGGCACACAGAGGGCCCATTCAGCTCCAGCGGGTCCCGGGGCCAGGCAGGTGTGGGGTGGGGAGGAGGCTTGCTTGTGAGCAGAGCAGGAGGGTTCAACAGAAGAGCCAAAGTGCCCCCTGCTGTTGGGAACAGCTGTGGCCTGGGGCCGGCGGGAAAGAGGAGGCAGCCGGCAGGGCTGCGGCCGCCCGACACGAGGGGACAGGCCATCCTTGCAGACCCCAGACCCACCTCGGAAGGTGCACTGAGTCTCAAAGGCAGATGGGGAAAATGAGGCTTGCAGGGGCACCGGTGACCAGGGGGTGGCCAGGACCAGGGCCCCAGCCAGGCAGCTGGCTCCTGGGGTGCAGGAGCCTACTGGTAGGGTGGTTGGAAGACTGGAGACGGAGACGGTCCTAGCTAGAGATGGAGACTAGAGGGGCCTCAAAGGGCCGGGAGGTGGTGTCCCCCAAGCTCGAAGCTCCTGGGTAGAGCTTGGACCCTGCCCACGGTGGGGGGGCCCTTGAGCACGCCTGCAGGGTGCCTCAGACCCCAGAACTGGGGTGGGGGTGAAGCTCCCGGAGCAGCCCCCCATCCCTGGGCCCCCACCCCCTCCTGCCCTGCTCAGCCCAGCAAACACGTCTGCACATCTGGAAAGCTTGTCCCTCCAGGCCAACTCACAGGCCCACACATCTGGAAATACCTGCTCCCCTCCGTGGGAATGGAGATCAGCCAGCCCCGAGGGAGGAAGGGGCGGGCGGGCGGCAGGGGCGCAGAGCCTCCATTACGTAAGTGGGCTGCAGATGTGTGCTGATGTGGCAACACCCTGGCCGGGCCGCAGCTGGTCTGGATGGGGCCCAGGGGCCCTGGGGAGCCCAGGAATGAGATTTCCTCCCCACCCCTCCCCGCAGCCCCTCGGCCCGCGGCCCCCCGGCCCCCCCCCCCCCCGCCTAGGTTTCTTCCTCCCCCCCCCCTGCTCCCAGCCCGGGGGGGGGTGCATTTTGCGGGGCCGGTGGCCTTTGCTCAGGCACAGGCTGGGGGCTTGGAGAGCGCCCCTGCCTGGTAACCCTGCCTCCGGCCTCTGACCCCCACTTGCCTGTTCTCCTCCTGCTGCCCCTCCGGACTCTCGCTCCGAGGGGGCTCCCCGCTGTTGGAGGCCCCCCCGGCCTCCCAGGGCTGCCGCTGTGGCTCTGGCTTCTGGGACCAGTCGCTGAAACCCTCGTCCTCATCCAGTTCAGGGGCCTCCGAGGGCTTCAGGCTGAGGCTAAAAGAGCAGCGCCGGGTGCTCAGAGCCGGACGGGGCCATGAGGGGCAGGGGGCACGCTATACACACTGGCCACATCTCCTTCCTTCCTCAGACCCTGGGCTCCAGGGGTGGGAGACCCTGTCTGCCAGGGGCAGCACCCATGGCTGGGCCGAGCCTCCCCGCTGTTAGAGAACCCCTGAGGGCAGGACTGTGTCTCCTCATAGTCTGGAGCTGCCTGAGGCCGAGGTTGTGTCTGACCCTATTAAGCTAGGGCTCCCCAAGAACAGGGCTATACCTCCCTCGTGAGACTAAGGTTCCCACAGAGCTAGGCTGTGCTTCCTCCATCAGTGTAGGGCCTGCTAAGACCTGGGCTGTGCCTCCCCCATCAGTCTAGGGTCCCCTGAGAACTGGGCTGTGCCTCTCTCACTAGTCTAGGGCCTCCTGAGAGCCGAGCTACGCTTCCTCCATCAGTCTAGCCTCCCCTGAAAGCAGGGCGATGCCTTCCCCATCAGTCTAGGGTCCCTTGAGAGCTGGGTTGTGCCTCCCCCATCAGTCTAGGGTTCCCCAGGAGCTGGGCTATGCCTCCTTCATCAGTCTAGGGTCCCTTGAGAGCTGGGCTGTGCCTCCCCCATCAGTCTAGAGCCTCCTGATTTCTGGCTATGCCTCCTCCATCAGTCTAGGGCTCCTTAAGGGCTGGGCTGGGCCTCCCCATCAGTCTCAGACTCCCCAAGAGCTGGGCTATGCCTCCTTCATCAGTCTAGGGTCCCTTGAGAGCTGAGCTATGCTTCTTCCATCAGTCTAGGCTCCCCTGAAAGCAGGGCTATGCCTCCCCCATCAGTCTATCCCTTGAGAGCTGGGTTATGCCTCCCCCATCAGTCTAGGGTTCCCCAGGAGCTGGGCTGTGCCTTTTCCATCAGTCTTGGTACGCTGAGAGCTGGGCTATGCCTCCTTCATCAGTCTAGGGCTCTCTAAGAGCTGGGCTGTGCCTCCTCCATCACTCTAGGACCTCTTGAGATCTGGGCTATGTCTCCCTCATCAGTCTAGAGCCTCCTGAGAATTAAGCTCTGCCCCTCCCATTAG